GGTACGTCATGGGACACGACGTCACAGCCTTCAGTTGCACCCAGCGCACCACACCCAGTCGAAGTGCATAGTTCGTGGGTGAGTCCGACACCACAAAGTGCTTGGAGTCCTCCCCAGTCGAAGTGCATAGTTCGTGGGTGTGTCCGACACCACAAAGTGCTTGGAGTTCTGAGCGTGGCCCACTCTTTCAGAATGTCAACTGGACGCAGCCGTTCGCTGCAACTTCCCAACTTGGATTCGATTACCGTCACTTGGGCTTACCAACCAGCATCCCGCAGACTTTACCACTTCAAGAAGATTACAGGCATGATTTCGAAACACGAAACATGTTCTTCCATCCTCTGTCAGTTGACACTACCAGCTTTCAACTTCCAAATAATCTTCCTCTCCATCCTCAACCACAGAAACCCGCATATGACTATCTCCGCCATCCGGATGTATCAAAAGACTTGTCTCTACGACAGAACTTAAATGAATTTGGGATTAATGGGGCAACGAGCCTCTTACACAAGAAATCCTACAGTGCAGACGAGACCCCACGTGAAAGTCAAAGTAATCTTGCGTCTCTGAAATCTATAAGTTTGAGCCATGGAAATTTGTCTGCTGCGAAAAATCAAAATATATTGTCCGGTGATTATTATTCTTTTAATAATCAAGAATTTATATCAGTGAATAAGGGAATTCAATCGAGTGCTCCAGAGGAAGCTGACAGACACGAACATATGTCAGCAGACTCTGAGAATAATCGTTTCGTGAACAGTTTCCGTCGGTATTCCCTGACGCCTCCTGATAGCTTCGGGCGTTCTTTGAGCGTGGACCGACTTCAGCCTTGCGGCGTGTCAGAGGAACCAGAGAATGTCGTTGACGCAAAGCCACCAGCTGTTCCACCGCGACCACCAAAGCCAACGCGCCTCTGTAGTCATGAACGCCGACGGTCACAGCAGGAGACAACAAACTGGGTTAGTATAAAATTTATAATCTCATTTTATTGGTCGTGTGCTCGTCCAGGGTGTATTTCAGTAAGAACTTCCCAAGATGGAATAATGGTACAGTGATGCTGTCGCTCAACGCTCAAGATTTAGCAATAGAACTACTGTTTCTTGTCGTAGAATCTTGTACGTGCGTGGCTTAGAAGCGTTGAAAATGGTCGCTGGAACATAATTGTTCGCGATCTTACAGATGGTCGAATCATGCCTCAAGAGTGGCAGAAATCTTGTGGGGAGAATGTTTGTGGGTCGTTTATGACGTTAGGCGTGCAGGTGTAGGTCTTCAGTATACCCCACGAGGAATGAATCTGGCTTTGTTAAATCTGGAGACCTTCTGAAATAACGCGGTCTTATAAAAGACTCTAGATTTCTCTCATGCGTGCAGTAGATCCGTGATACCCTGCCCCCATCCTTCTAGAAGTAGCCGCTAGTTAGGTCCTCATAAAATGAATTGAAAATTGTCTCAAACAAGAATGGAACGCATACTGTATACTGCAGACCTGGTCGCGAAATTAAAACAGTCCAAGAACGGGTGGACCAGACTTATTCCGGGGGATCGCGGGATGTAATTTCACAAGGACTGAGGTAGGCCTGTGAATCTACAACATTTCATCACCATCGGTTCGTAAGTAACAGTTTTATTGCTGAAACTCTGGGGATCACCCTGTATAATACTGAGTATGAAATAGATTTAGGCGGGGAATATGGACAGTACTCTGCTTGTTTGTTTACTTTTTCGTGTGTTTTCACATAGGTGCGTTTGCTGCATGAAAAAGCATGACGGCATGCATAAGTTATGTATGTACTGGGTGTTTCAGAACAAAGATACCTACCAGTGCTACCAACATCGATATTTTAGCGATTCTAAGCTTTTCACACCTAGCAATTATTTTTCTTGTTGATTGGGGCCACCCGATCTGTAACCCCCTCCTCCAAATTCTAACAATTAACCGTGTCATTTAATTGGAATTCACAATCCGAGAACATTTTATATTGTGATAAAATTTGTCTTGTTAAATCCTTGTCGATAATTTGCGGCTATATGAATTTCTGCGGTGATGTTCGACCAGCACTAGCTGTTTAGTTGATGAGTTAGCTTATATGAGCTTTATTTTTTGTATATTTGATACATAATTCATAGATTTTAATTAGAGCGCCTGTTTCGCCCGGTCACACTTTAGAAAATTTACAGCACTGGACGTATAGAACACGTGAACTGGGTTGCTGGGGGGACCGTCCATATTTTCATCTCAGTGTTTCGTTAATAGCAACCTCTTGAACCATTAAATATACCGAGATTTTTGAATTGCCTTTCAAAATAAAAGGCCTAATTCTTTTGTTTTTACATGATGATGTACGAAAATTGACTGGTACTTCGACGTTGACAGACCTACGTATTGTGGCATCGAGATATTAATCTCCATCATCAGGGTGATTACCCTGATGATAGAGGCAGTGAGTACCTCTGAAACGTCGGTAAACTTACATGATACAACATCAAAGAAAATACAAACGAAAAATTGATTTGACAGAATTTAAAGCGCGCAAGTCGCTTCGAATACAGGCCTGTGTTATGGGTATTTTGCCATATGCCGACGTTTCGGAGGAACATGCTGTGCCTTTATTTTCAGGAACGTAGTTATGATTGGTAGGGAGTAGGCGGTTTATATAGGGTTAGGAAGAATTGCTTTGAGTTTATAGCTTGTACTGTTCACGTGATGTTATCGAAATTAAATCAGGCTTGTTGAGATGGGAAGGGCGTTTATTGGCTGGAATACGTGATATGTGGAGACACGTCGGAAGACCTCCGTCGTGGCGTGTTTCTTGTGTCACTGTTGCGCTGAAAACCTGATCCGTTTGGGTGCTGGTGATCTGGCCTGGGAAATAGATCTACAATGCAAGTGGCATTCTTTTCCCACATAGCATCTGGGCTTCTTTAACCATGGGATCCGGAACTTTCACGTGTGATGTACAGTTGCTGGAAACAAATGCACTTCACCAGCCCGCGAACTCCGTCGTTCTAAAATTGTAAAAAAAAAAAAATTACGTATGAAATAGGCAGACTCGTAGAGCGTGGTGTCAATCAGAACTTCTCTCAGCGGCGAGTAACAAAGCTGGCTGTCTTCTGGGTTGATGGGCCGTGTAGTCTAGTAGAAGTTTACCGACGTTTCAATGGTGTTTACTGCCACCATCATCAGAGCGATGAGCTCATAGCAATAACTCAAGACAGCCATCTTTGTAGTGTTGTAAGCATGGCTTCTGGGGGAAATTGGAGGAACATTATCTTCGCTTCCTTATGCTACGTCATATTATTTGCATAATTGTTAATTTGCACCTCGAGAATTTTTCTGCTGGTACAGGATTCGAACTCACGTGACATGTCATTCGGTTTAACGTGTTGAAACGTGATCAAGATTAAAAGATGGATTTGATAAAGTGAATAACTCATTCCAGTGAGCAGAATCATTCTTAAGGCTTTGACCGGGATGTTCTTTTGTTAAATCTTATGTGGTACCGCCTGATTCGACTTCTAATGGTTAAATGAAGTGTTTTCTTCGCGGTACGGTCTGGATTCGTAAATATTATGAAGACGAGCTTCGGCTTCAAAGGGTTAACCAGCTGATTTTCGTAATGGTGAGGTGTAGTGTTTTCTTCGCGGTACGGACTGAATTCATAAATAATATTCAGACGATCTTCGGCTTCAAAGGGTTAAGAAGCTTGTGGTACACCCTTGGAGCGCGTGTTCGCAGGAAACTGCCTCCGACCTACATCCTGGGTCATATGAACACAGATCCAACGTCTGATCTCTCCTTTCAGGGCTAATAGTGACATCACTTGTACCACCGGTAACACTGCCTTGTTATTGTTAGCATACGGCGAGGATATGTCTCTGTGGATCTGGGCCTCTAATGGCCCCTTTGTCCATCCCCCAGATGGTACGTGAACGAATATGGAGCAGCGTAGGGGGGCCCAGTTCGTGTTAACTTGTTCGCTTGGGGTTCTTTTGTGTACATCCTAGGTGTCGAGGCATTATACTTAAGCGTGTACAGTTCATAAGCGGATGGATGGTGTTTCCATCAGGAGAAGAAGTAGTGTTGGCAGGATACTGTACCCGGTGGATGCAGACTCTTGTGCGTGTGTGAACAGAGTGGCTGAGTATCGCTAAGTGGACATTACGGTCTTGTGACGTAACGCAGTTGTGCCGTGCATTTGTTTTGTGGTTGAGGGCGATGAAATTTGGGTCAGTGCTGTCCTGAATAATTCTTATTGATTGTATTTCAGCTACTGAAAACTTACCACGTTGATATTCATAAAGATGATGTTTTGAAAAAAAGATATCGCTTGTCCATCGCTGAAAAAAGTAGGTGATTTCGCTCGGCTTTATTTATGGACGCATTCATTGGTCGTGTGTTCAAAATTATGGCCGAGTAGAGACGTGGGTTCATTGGGAAACTGTCACATTCGTGTGGCAAATTTAGGTTCTGTAATAGTACCATAAACAAATATTACGAGAAAAATAAATTTCGATTTTAATGTGTCTGAGGTGTAGGAAACACGAATCCTTACTTCGTAACAGGTTGATAAATGGTGAAGACACTACCCATCGTCCTGTAAGATGAATTCCGGGTGGTATCACGGCCGGAGCGTGAAACTCCGTCTGGTGCTGAGGTCAAATGCACAGAACTTTACATCCAAAAGTTCACACGTCTTCGTGGCGAAGGGCGTGGAACAGTTTTGTTAATTCTTTGAAATTTGTGACCGGTATCAGTTTATTTGAAACAACTTATCATAATTAAATGTGGAGAGAATAATTGTGTGTCTGTGGCCGACACAGACAGACAGCAGCGTAAAAATACATTAGTGCTAATAAAAAGTGCGTCGTTATAATCAGTGTTGGTGAAGGAATTCGTTGTTCGTGCTGTCTCATTCCGACGGGAGTGTGTGTCGGGGGGTTAAATTTAGCTCTCCTCGAGCTCTGGGTCCACCGAGCCGCCTCGGTCGGCGTCAGTGTTCGCCCCAGAGCGACGTAATCCGGTTACCATGAACGGTATCCTACAGCGGGTTAAGGAATTATCGTCTGTATGGCACCAGGATCTTGTGGTGTAAATGTGTTGCGTTTCGAGCAGGGGCCTTCATCCCGCGAAGTGAAGTCACTCCGCGTCTATTTGAGATGAAATGAAATGGCTTCGTCGCACTGTGAAGGACCGACATTGTCTTAATCGTGTTTATATAGATGACCCTTTTTTTTTCGGGCTTAGAAAGTTGTTGGAATATTGGGAGTCTGTTTTTGATGGTCAGCCGATGGTGTTGTGACAGTATTGTATTTTTTTTATCCAGTAACTTTATCAGACATTCGTTTTACAATGTCTGCAATGTTTACCAGACGCCTTTTAGGGCAGTACTGCTCGTGTCTGCTTCATTTTGTTTAATTTTGTGAAACCGTTTCCATCTGCCTGCAGTTTTTCTTAATTCCGCGTGAACTAATGACATTACAGACGCATATAACACTCTTGGTATCATATTAGTTAATTTTTCAACAATTTTATACCCACTGTATTCAGTTGAATAATTAATATTAAATTAAACGATGGATTTCGCTTTGTGTACCAAATGTGTAATGTGATTCGTTAACATGAAATATTTCAATGACTAAAATTGAAAACGTTTGTAAAGAACGGTTCGTGGAAAATTCTCTTTGAAGCGTAGAGATGAAGTCTGGGTAATTTTACAGAACTGTAAAAGCATTAGTACGGCAGAATAGTAAATTATATATTTTCTCTGCTTACTGGAGGCAGTGTCGTAATTTTTATTTGATAACTGTGCACAGAGCTCGTGACTTCTGACTAGATTTTCATGTGGACAGTAGAAAACAAGGGACATCTTTACTCTTGTTGAAAATTAAATATCACCTTTACATGCTATATCTAAGATATCTCGTTTAAAAGAACAACTTTTGATTTATTTGGTTTCTGATATCAGCGATCTCTCACCATCTCGGATTTACTTATATCCGCAATAAATAAAATATTTATTATTCAGTACATAGTAAGGTGTTAAATAATCAACTTCCCGAAGTACCTGTCGACGTCAGTAATCATTAAATTATCATCATAATTTTCTGAACAAGGTAGCTTATTATTACAGTTGCGTTGGTAATCGGTTTAAGAAGATTTACGTATGAGTGAGAATTTTGATGTGGGAATTTGAGATTTATTCCTAAAACATCGAGTTTTGTCATCATAGTATTCTTGTCATGTGCGAAGCGTACAGAAATAGATATTCTGTCTTGGCAGTTGTCCATTTGGTATGAGGTAGCATCAGTATTGTATGCACAGCGTCTCTAATGATGATCGAGGGTTTTTTTTTCTCTCTTAAAGTCGTGTTTTCTTTATCTGATAGACACATGTGGGCGAAAGAGAGTTACATTTTACCTCGGCACTCAAGATACACGCGCTTTTAACACACTGTAGTTACAGAGACTTCCATTTTCAGTCTGTGTCAGAGATCAAGCCGCGCCAAAGACAGTCTCCTTGATTGCGTGTCTGGTCTGGTGGTGTTGGAAGTTGTTTTTAGTAATGCCAGAGATCGGACGTCGGGGCACTGGCGAGGAACTTGGTGGTGCTGGCGTCGCTGTGGCAGCAGCTGTAGCTATTCTGGAGAAACACCAAGAAGACCAGAGACGTACAAGGCCGCCGGTGGTTCGCCGTCAACAACATGGCGATTTAATCCCCGGGGCTGGAGTTACCAGCGTCAATTGTGTTGGGGAGACCATTGCCCGCCTGCAAAATAGATTTAGTGCCGGTCGCTCCGTGGGGAATAGTGTTTCGCCTTCTTATACTTCTTCTTCGGTGAGTAGAGAAACGAAACAGGACGCGGACATTGCAGGACGAGACGATTATCCGTCTGTGTGGAAGAACGAACAGGATAATTGTGATGTTAAATCGAATTACGTTGTGACAGGACACGATCAGCGTTTTAACGACATTCATAAATCACCTTCCACTAAAAATATCTCCTCTTTAGTGTGTAATAATTCTGTAGTTTCGACGCTGAATAAAGGATCTTCGACTTCTCTTGATACGAAGACTCAGAGTGCCCAGAAGTTGGTTAGCGACTGTAAGGTGGAGATTTATTTTCCGCCAGGTTCAACACAGTGTCTTATGAATGCCGCTAAAAGATCATCGGGTAAACAGCATTCTTTATCAGAGTCATTATCCACTGGGAATGACTCCCACGGAAGCTGTGACGTACAGTGGTCATCATCTCATCCAGAGGCTGTGGATCACCATGATGGATGTGATGACTATGGTGATTTAGGCGTTTCTTCTATGAAGAATGATACTTTTCAAAATGACTATCAGGTTCAGAACGTCGTGAAAGAATCTGCGAGTGATAGAAACATCCCGCCGAGACGTCCACGTGTGATTTGTCTCCGGGCGTCTGCGAGTGAAAACGTTAGCAGAACGAAATCCGATCCAGAATTAGCATCAGAGTACGTCGCACAACAGAGGCAGTTATGGGATGACGCTGAATCAGCAAGCTCGTCGCCGTCGAGTGGGTTAGGAGGAGTTTCAGAATACCTTCGGCAGCCAAGTTCAGTGCCACAGGAGAACGAGGACCACAGAGGCTCCCCGGCGACAGGTGGATCGTTGTCTTCCGGAAGCTCTCGACGGATCCTTGCCTCCTCTGAATCACTAGGTACCTACACACATATAGGACGGACAGGCTTAGTGGATTAATAATAAGTAAGAAGTATATTAAGTCGCTTTGTAATTTTTGTTTGTTGATGCTAGAGAAATGACCACTTTTTTAACATACACTTAAATTGATATAATTGCGTCATATTGTGAATTAAAATTTAATTATTCGTGTTTTTTTCCGTCTAATCACAATTGTATATAAATAAAATTTTTATACACAAGATATTAAAATATCATTTACATATTTGGTACATCTTTTTACTACATGTTTCGGTTACATTGAACCATCTTCAGGTGTAAAGTTAAAAGTTAAGAATTATACTCTTATAAACTAAAACTTAATTATACCCTCACTCCAATGAATTTCTAAGTAAACATCATCAGAAGTTACACAACAACAGTAATTAAGTTTTAGTTTATAAGATTATAATTTTTAACTTTTAACTTTACACCTGAAGATGGTTCAATGTAACCGAAACATGTAGTAAAAAGATGTACCAAATATGTAAATGATATTTTAATATCTTATGTATAAAAATTTTATTTATATACAATTGTGATTAGACGGAAAAAACCGAATAATTACCTACTTAAATCTAAATATTTTAATTTAAATTCTTAATGGGAAGTTAATGAGAGCCCTTAGGTAGAACCGTCACAGGCGACTGTCGTTATAACGCGCTTTCGTTATACGCGGATGCATTTCAGTGTCGTGAGGAGTATAAGTATTCTATCCACGGCCAAATTTTAAAGGCTGTTGCTTGCGTCAGATATTTTCATGGTTTATCGAGGAATTGTGATTCGGATAAAATAAGTTTAACATCACAGAATTCTGATGGCGTCGCGTTTACACCAAAGTGGCTGTTGTTACACTTTTACGCGTTTTTATTGTACGCGGAGATTCTCGAGAACGCAACCTCTGTGTATAACGACAGTCATCTGTCTATTGAAGTCTAGGAGTGATGCCTTCTATTATTCAGTTCTTATGTGTGTGTTACGTCTTAATGATAATAATATATAAAATAATAATTTTACTTGTTTTGTTCAGGAGTGAGACGTTGGGAGGGGATGGATTTTGTTTCAGACAAGGATTCAGAGGCTGAAATAAGGAGCTTAATAATTTCTACGTTTCATTAAATATTATTAGGTGATCAAACCAGAATGAAATGGGCATGACATGTTATATGTATGTGGGAGATAAGAAATGCTTGCGAAATTCTAACCGGGAAATCTGTCTATATGTGGTTTCCATTGCAGAGTTATTAAAACAAAATTAATTAGGATTATATGAGTGGGGGGGCATTTAGCACGGATGGGGTAGATGAGAAATGCGTGAAAAAAAAATTGGTCGAAAGACCACTTGAAAAAACCTAGACATAGGTGAGATGATAATATTAAAACGGATCGCGTGGGTTTCGCGTATGGATTGAGTTTATGTGGTTCATGATAGGGGCTGAAGACGGGCTTTTGTGAACACGATAGTGAACTTTCAGGGTCCATAAAAGGCTAGGATTGTGCTCCATAGGATTATTATAGTCTAGTATAAATTCAAGTCATACATGTTTATTATTAATATGTCAAATTGATTTCTCCGTAAAATATCGACAGTTATTTAGTTGATAAAAATATTTCTATTGGATTTAATTATATGCTATTTAAATCCAGTTGAATGTCCGAGGAAGGTCAGTGTTTTTTTAAAGGATATATTTTAAAAATTGTTAATTTCCAATGGTTATGTTTTAATCTGTATCAGTTTTAATTACAAATTGGAGTATTTAAGCCAAGCATTCTTACGTCCAATGTCTTTATGTGAGAGTTATGTGCTAAGTTTTAAGTAAAATGGCGTCCCGACACGTGTCTGGCCTGGCTTGACCGTGGTTCTTTGTTATTAAATGACACTCGTACCATCTGATTGTACTAGAACCGTTTTAATGCAAAATCGACTTGCGAGAACGAGAACCAACCAGCGCGATATTTCATATCCACATTCGATTATCGAAGTTTCGATAGCCATTTCGACGTGCATTCAAGCTTTTGTTGTCTCTGTGAAAACAATGAGCGGATTTAATTAGTATTTCGTTTTGAATTCAAATCGATACGATGTGCGCCATCTGCTTGAACAATCAGTAACTCTTGTCATTTGTTTTTTGTGGGTTTTATATTAGAATCAGTAACTCTTGTCATTTGTTTTTTTTTTGTGGGTTTTATATTATTTTCAGTGTAACTAGCGTTTATCTCCTTAAACAGCGTTAACCGCTTGATCTTTGTAATGGTGAAATGTTGTGTTTTCTTCGCGGTACGGGCTGAACTCTTAAATATTATTTAGAGTAGCTTCGGTATCATAAGATTGAAAGTGGTCTCTCTTGTTCACGTTTAACACAAGTTTTATTTAAGACGGTAAAAGTTTATTTTGAGAATTATTTTTCGTTTTCTATGAGGTTTCTTGTTTTGGGGGCGTGTCAATGTACGATGTGCGTTAATGTCTTTATAGAAGGTAGGATTTGAGGTTTTCACTGCGTCGAGTATAAAGTTGACTTTCCTCTGGTCTCGTATAAATTTACCAAAGTTTCGGATGCCCTTCCTGCCTCCATCATCAGGACGAGACTACAAGGCGCAATATCCTAGGAGGTCATCTTCATAAAAAAAACCTGAAATGTTGCCAAAACAGGGTTTTCTATGACAGTTTTGAACTTGAAGACTCCGAAACGGGGATTTCCTTGGGCGGTCGACTGTTGGTGTTGAGGGAAGATTCTGTGGCAGTGTGTTTGCTGATAGTGAAGGTTCAAGGGGGCGGTAGGCAGTGTTCGCTGTCCTTGTTTCTTGCATTTCAAGCGTAAAATCGAAGATAACTTCGGTGTTCGGTGTTTGGCTCCACACGCTTATAGACCCGAAAATTTGTGAGCATTCACACGTTCTACGTTTCTCTCAAACGTCCTACGTTTAGAAAAGTTTGATTGCATGAGTGCGATGTGAGCTGTTGTAGGATTGCTGATGATAGGGTCTTAAACCTGCGGCGGATAGATGCAACGAAGCTCTTTTGATCAGCTGCGTCGATACAGAATAAAAATCGGACGTTTCGATTACTCCTTCTGCCTTTATCATCAGTAAAAGATGTGATGAGTGGCTCACATTTGCCTTTGTGTGTAGGCCGAAACACACATCAGACAATTTATTTTACCCATGATGATAGGGGCAGAATCAGTCTCCGAAACGTCGGATTTTTAATCGTGTGTTCCTACGGCTGATCGCCGGAGAAGGCTGCATTGCACGGAAGGTACACGAACAACAAATATGTAAAAATTAGGTGGGGATACCATTTTAAAGGGTCGGAGAAGGAATAAATTGTTTTTCCTCAGTACGTCCTTAAAATAGGCCACAATCCCTACCTGTCATTCGACGCCATATAAAGTCTGAGGTACTGGCAGTGTCTTCCGCATTCACGAAAAACTTGTATATAGCATTCTTTGCCTTTTATTTATATGTTGTCATTTGTTCTTAAGACCGTGAGATATTTATACAGATATTTGTTCAGGCTGACTGGAAAATTTATATACAGTGGAATTTTCTTTTTAAAGAATACGCCTAAACATCCCGTGATGTAGGAGTCTTTGATTTCACAGATTTGTACTTCAGATTTACAGATTTGTTTCCTTTGCTAGTGATTACGTGATTCTCAGGATGAAAGAACGTAGATTTCTCCCAGCGATGCCAATATATAAAGATTGATGGGGAAATCGGGGAGGGGGGGAGGCATCGATTTTCGAATCACATATCATGGCTTGAGAACAGACAGATGACTGCACGTGTATACGTAGAGGAAAAACTACTTAAATTCAGTACTTATAAAACAAATTGGTGCCTACTTGTGCAAAAATACTGGCGAAGAAATTTACCACGTTTACATGGAACCCGAAGGAAGATTCATAACCGCGGATACTTGTCCCTGTTGGAGGCAGATTAATCCAATCCACATCTTAAGATTCGTTTTAATATTGTACTTCCATCTATGCCCAGGTCTGGAATCCACACTTGGTGCAAACCTAATAGTTGACCAGATGATATAGTTGCGTCATATTGTGAAATTTAATTATTTATTCGGTTTTTGTCCGTCTAATCACAGTTCACGGTGGTCTAGCGTTTATAACGCTGGCCTTGTAATCCTGGGGTCTCGGGTTCGATTCCCGGCGGTGCCCGAATTTATAACTTGTGTTGGGCAAGGCCGTGGTCTAGGCAACACGGAGTTTTCCTCCGTGGCATCCCAAATTTACAATTGGAACATCTTTTTACAACATGTTTCATATGTGCATATCAGAAATTGTAATTTAAGTTTTAAGTTTATAATTTTAACTTTTACACCTGAAGATGATTTATATAGATACCGAAACATGTTGTAAAAAGATGTTCCAATTGTAAATAGATTATTCGATAAGGGACATAAAATGATATTTTAATTATCTTTATAGTAAATTTTAAATATGAATTTTGATTAGACGGACAAAAACCGAATGAATAATAGTTGATTAAAACGTTGTCTCATCTACTTAAATTAGTAATCGTAATTGATATGCCTTCTTGACAAATGCTGCTATATCTGGTCTGAGTTTCATTTTCATTTTTTATTTTTTTTATTTTTCCGTGAATTATCTTCTTCACAACGAAATCGTTGTTATCCGTCGGATCTGTGACTGCGTAACCAAGAGAGTGTTTTAATGCAAGAATGCATTTAGTACCTTCATCGAGGTTTTTTTAAAATAATTTTTGAAATTGTGAACAGCGCTTGCAACCGAATGTCCAGCTCCGTATTCCAGATGTCCCGGGTTTGAATGACAGCCCTTAGATAAAGTTTCTCGTGGTTGTTCTCAGTTGTTCCATCTAAATTCTTTAGGGTTTCCAAGAGATCTGCTATAATTCCACCCAGAACTAATTCTTGTAGCTTCCAGATTACCGTTGACTTCTTATGCTGGTGTTTTATGTATATATTTCGAGTTTTCGTATTGTTTTTGAAGGAAAAATGACATACTTAATTTTGGCTTTGGTGATTGTTAAGAACGTCTGAATTTCTCCATATTTCCCGGGTTTCCCATCAAGGTATTGGTCCTGACAATCGCGGATTTTTAGAAACGTAACCCCATCTCACACACGTGCCAGGTTGGCGAAGCATTTCCTGTCCACTTCATCTTCTGATGAGTTGATTCTATCCTAGGTTAAGCCCAAAATCATTCAACTGTCAAGACAAATCCACTGTTCTGTGTCGGAGAAGGAAATGCCAAATTTAAAACAGCTATGTTTGTAGCCGCGCACCCACAGGAAGGGAAATGTTCCCTCAGTCTGTGGGCGAATCTTTTCTGGCAGTTAAGTAATGCCCAGCATCGCAGGATTACACACACACACACACTTTTCTTTCTTTGTGACAGAGTAAAAGCTGGAAACCAGGCGTCGATCTGACAGGAAACAGTTTTTATTACCAACATCGTAAAACGTATTATTTTATACGACCTTAGGTTTACAGTCTCCTTGGCTGGTGATGATTATTCAACTGTTCAAAAAGCATGAGCCTGGAGTGTGTATAAAAGAAATGAAACTATGCACACGTTACCACCTAAAGGACGACTTTAAACGGTATTAACACTGAAGTTGTAGGTTTAAGCCAGTCCTTACATAATTGAGGCAAAATCAGATGTAGTTTTTATACAGGGTGATTCAAAAGGTTAGGGCCAGACTGAAGGAGAACAACTTTCGAATAGGAATCCATGTCCTCCGAAGTCATCCTGAGTCAGTCGTGGTCATTGAAGGTATTAGCTTAATTTCGTTTTTTATTAATGTACAAGGATTACATTAGCAATCTTACAAACCAAATTATTTCAGCGGTATGTTATCAGACTTCGCTACCTTCAATGGCCTCGACTGACTCAGGATGACTTCGGAGGACATGGATTCCTATTCGAAAGTTGTTCTCTCTGAGTCCCTCTCTACGCTCCTTCAGTCTGGCCCTAACCTTTTGAATCACCCTGTATTTTGAAAAATGTCCATTTTCATACCTCATTTACTCTGTCCTTACAGCTCACGCACAATTGTAAAAATATCAGATATGTATTCTGCATTATTGTAGCGTTCATTGTTTGTTGATTTTTTTTTTTTGGGGGGGGGGTTATGAAAAATTATTTTGAGCAGCGTGAATTAAGTAAGGGCTAAATGTGATGTTATTGAACTCAATTGCAGCTCGGCACAGTGTTTTTTTTTTTTTAAATGTCGTCATAATAGACCGTAGTTTGGCATTCAATTCCCTCTTTCTTTCATCTCTGGCCTTTAGCCAGTTGTTGCTTAATATTTCTGCAAATAGGTTTCTTGCTCGAGATGATTCCACTTCTGTCCCTTCAAGTTCTTTTCCCCATTGTCTTTCCGGTTCTCTTAGAGTGACTGTGTGATTTTTCTTCTAAGTGACAATGAACACAGTTCATCATATTTCATCATTTCATCCGGCTGTCAACTCCTTTCTGTATACGCCACTTGGTCTGTATAATTCACGTACGCACTTTTCATTTGCGATATAATTTCAGCTCATTAATTAAGTCTGTGTAGAAGTTATGAAATTCTGACACTTAATTGTGTGTTTGGAGGGTTATTTCTTGTGCTGATTGAATCAAGCCTTGCTAAACTGTAAGGTACACAAGTAAATACTCTAGAATTTTAAATTTTTTATTTATAGAATGTCATAAACGCCGTGTGACAGTTGGTGGTGCAAAAACGTGTGATGTACTCGTGTCGCCTTTTATAGATTTTGAAGTATGACTCATTACTATTAGAATTCTCTTCTTATCTCCATATGCCATGCCCATTTTGATGTATATTTAGACCTGTTAGGATATTTTATATATTTGTGTAATTATTATATGGAATCAGATATATATATATATATATATATATTAAGATTTCTGTCTTCTGGGTTGTTGCGCTGTGTAGTCTGGTATTCTATCAGACTACACGGCGCAACAACCCAGAAGACAGAAATCTTCAGACACACATCGCGAAAACCTCAAATTATACATTTTTTTTTTTTTTGGTTTGATCTAATCTGACCCAGTTGTTACATGTGGGATTTTTTGGTACGTAGGTTTTTTTGGGATATTTTAATTCTTCTTCTCTGAAGTCTTTTCTGTAATTAGTAATGTATCATTATTTGTGTAGACACTTATCAGATGGTATGATGTTGGTATAAAGCAGTTAATTTTGTGGTCTGACCGAAAGTGTTGAAATTTATAAAATGGGAAATGGAATGAAACTCGCAGTTCCCCATACAATTATATTGTTTTTTTTTTTTTGTTATGTGTACACGTGAAACATTTTGGACGTATTTAGCATAAACTTTGTCTCCCTTGAGGACACGTTCTCAATAAGGGAAAAGATCTAGATAGGTTGTCTTGATAGATGATCTAGCTTCGTTATCTGTTTTTTTTATATTTGTTTAACGTTTTACAATTATATTAGTGTTCCCTAGGTGGATTATTTGTTTTTATTTATATTTCTTCATTTATTTTGCTTTGTGTTAATATTGTTTCTATTTTGGGTTTGCCTGTACTTGGCAGTTATATTTAAAACTGTACATGTATAAGTTTAGTTAATCTGTTTGTGTATTATTTTTCATTATTATTTTATGTATTATCAGTGTTTGGCTGTTATTGGCTTTTTGCTGTTGGCAAACACGTAAATAAATTAATTGAATTGAAACAGAATCTTATAATCTTAGCTGTTTTATATAGTAACATATAATTAAAAAAATTCGTAAAATAGTTAGGGTATAGATCTATCTAGATATCATTAATTATCATAATCTTGTAATACACCAAGACAATTTTAAAAAAAAATTAAATGTGGCATTTACGTATGTTTGAAATGAAGCCTATTTTATCTTTATCACTTACCTTAGCCTGTATCTCAGAGTGCAACTTCGTGAAGAATGGTTTGGGATTTGGTGTAGGTGGGGATGAATCAAGCCCTGATGAAGAAGAAGATTCAACCCTCAAGTGCAGTGGCACAGCTTGGTCAGGTTCGGACTCTGCCCCACGTCACAGGAGCAGTTCCACCTCTGAGTTCTCCAATTCGACCTCCTCTGAAGGGGAGGCAGACGATCTTGATCGCCCTCCACACAAACCCTGCCGACCTTCTGAAGGTGTGCTCCCCTTCTGTCAAGAGTTTTTGTTGAAAGCTGTAGGTTTACGTGACG